AAAAAAAAAAACCCACAAAACCAAAAACACACTAAAAAACCCCTAACCAAACAAAATAAACAAACAAAAAACTTTTTTTTTTAAAATTAAAAAAGTTAAACCTCTTAACTGAAACCAGAAAACATGTGCCAAAATTTTGTCAGTTCGCAATACATGCCAAATAGAACTAAAGGACAGGCCAAGATATAACTGCTTTCAAAAAGTCTCCAAAAAGGTAAGAAGACTAAATAACAATCATTAAAATTAATTATTATGTGAATAAACTCTTCTTCTGGGGCTTTATTTCTCAAAGATCCTCAATATGGCCCCTTCTTTAAAAAAAACTGCTCAACAGTTACCTAATATATGACAACATGATTGCCTTCAATTTATGAAGAACGACTCTGCTATATGCCATACTATATTAAGCATTTTACTAAAATCCAAGGTCTTACAACTTTAATAAATATTGTTTTAAAAAACATTAAATGTACAATTTTTTTTACATGCAAATCCATTAAAAAACAACCTCCAGAAGAAAATGGGTCTTGAAACAGGCCTGTTTAAAATACAGAAGATCACTACTTTATTGGAGGTGATGATGTGTTTTAAAGGGGCAAATAACAGATTCTCATTAACTGATTGCAACTGTATTACTGGCTACTGGAAATACTGACAGATCTCCATGAGTCTGTACTGTCTTCCCACCTATATCTTCTCTGCAGAGGTGGTCTTTGAGAGTTTTTGTGGGGAGGTGGCACTGAATTCATCACAACAGGGATGGATATTTCATATTCGTATCGTTCCAACATCTGAGCAATCTTCTCACGAGTGACCCCATGTTTATTCCTCCTACAAAAATAAAAATTTAAATAAATTGCCTGGTATGTTTACAGTTATATATGTATACATATCTACAAATTGCATAATCTTTAATAAAAAAAACCTACAAATGCTCCATTTTTTTCTTCTTGCTTTTTGTATTTAAAATTTTACTTTCATTACACTATATCCTTATTCTCTAGGTATTTAACTTGTGCTAAGGTTTATTTTAACAATTCATAGCTGCATATATTGAGTAACAGTACACAATACAGTTATTCTTCTTCATACATAAATGTGATATTATTCATTGTAACTACGCATCTGAATTACCCYAGAAGGATACGGCTTTCTATTTATTATTCAGATTTGACAAGATACACTAGCTAATGGGTACAGGGATGAATAATAGCACAGGCTACTCCTCATGAAAGCAATGATCAAACTAGCATAAAAAACACAACTACATGGTTTCGAGACTTAATGACAAAATATTTTCTCATCAAGAAACCTCCCTACAGAACAAGATGCAATTTAAGTTCTGAACCAGAACAACATGCTCACAACACCTCCATCTACTAGTTGTAATTGACACCTGCTGTAAACACATRTAAGGGAGAAGGTATCCAAAGTGGTGCCCTGCTCTCGCAGTGCTCAGTGAGAATCTGGTTTATTAAGAAGAAATGTTACACTTCACATTAGAATGTATCTTTCTCCTTGGTATCTAGGGAATAGGACCTTAAAATCCATGATAGCAGAGAATTTCAATCTATGCCTAAAGAAAACCACAAGACTCATGCACAAACTGAATGTCTGAGAATTGCCAGAAGTGTAACAGAACTGAATCTAAAAGTAGAGACATAAAACAGAAACAAAATATTTTGATAGCATAAACAAGCATTTATCATAACCCAATACATTCTTACTGCCAAGAAACTTTGTCCAAGCTAACTTATTTCCACGTCAAACCAATAGGGAATATATTTCTGCATCTTTGTGCTTTCTCCCAGGCACAGAAAAGGTATGGGCCTTACCAACTTGCTCAGTTCTACAGAGAAGAAATCAACACTGGCAACAAAAGGCTATACCAGAAAGAGGATACTCCATACAGAAATATTTTAAAAGATTGGTATCCTCAGTTTCACATTAAGAATGGAAGCAGAATTGGTCCAGATCTCAGAACTACTCAAAATTAACTGGCTCTGTAAGGTATATTTTATCAGCTTTCTTTCTGTGAAGAAAATGCATAAGCAGAGCATTTCCCTCCCAGACACTCTTCCCTGAGACAACACCAGAAGCTGGAGTGATCATCACATGTGGCTCATTGTTTAAACGCTTCTAATTTCTGTATTGTGCTAAAACACTACAGGAGCAGCAGCTTGTTGATCTCATCACTTAGTGAGCCTTAACAGTTTTGATTTCACTCACAGATACAAACAAGGTTAAGGGTAAAGAAAAAAGTTAACGCTCTAGAAATATGTGGGTTTAATAAAGCACTTCACACTCATGACAAAAAAAAAATGAGAAGAAGTCTAAGTTTTCTAATGCCACATGGTGCAAGCAGAAAGTTATTCAATATTTTCCCTATCTTAGTACTCCTAGGAAAAGATTACAGTTCAAGTGCTCTGGATACAAAGTGCTCTGGAAATAAAGTGCTCATCTACAAATGAATGGACTTGTGAATAATCACTTCATAAAAGGGGCAGTACTTTTCCTTGCAGAGTAACGCAGGATAATAAAATCAACAGCAAAATTGCATCAAGCACAGAAACTGATTTGTAAAAAGGAAATAAATTTACTGTATAATATCATTTAATACCGGAATCTCCTCTTCAGGCATGTCTTCACTCATTGTTTGGCAGTTTGGCTATGCTGAGAGAGCATAAAGCCATCTATCTAAACTAACACAGACATATCAGCAAATGCTCCTAAAAGACAGGAGGAGGAAGACTGTTTTGCTTGGAAGAACAAAGAATCTATTGATSAAGGCAAAGCTCTGTCACTATTAGATGCTTCTATGCTACCCTCCGTAAGTGCACCCTCAGCAAGTTTGCTGATGAAACAACACTGTAAAGAGTCCTCTACTAAAGCAACTAAAGAACAAAATGAAAATTTACATTACCACCTTTCTTAAGATCCCCAGAAATAAAGTTTCCAGACAATGGACCTCTATTCAAATATTTAAAGTAACCAGAACTGCTAAAATATTTCTAGGAACTTTTTAAAAACTGGTAACAGCACTTCACAGTTCAAGTGTTTTCCTCTGGGAGATATAGACTTCACTTCTACAATTAATAATCGAACAATAAAATTCCACAGTAACAACACTTCACTTTTTAAGATCATGTGGAAATATGAATTTTCCTGGAAAATTAGTCTGTCTTATTTAATGGAAATCTCATGCTGCATATCTTAGAAGTGTCTGATTACTAAGATTCCTAACTTGGCTCTGCTGCACCCCAAACTAGATAAACTTGCTATCATTCTACAGAGAGAGAACTCCACCTCTACATACAAGTTAGTGGTAGCTTAAGAGCAAAAGGTGAAAAATTTACAATATTTATAAACACAATAAAGTCCAAGTCAGTAATGCAAGCTACTTTACAAAGCTGAAGCAATTAGAGGCAAGCTGGATGCATATAAAACAACAACCAGTGAGAGAACTCTGTCATCAACTGTGAAAGTATTACACTACATTTCGAACAAGGAAATATCCCTGACCTGATTTGATACCTCATAAATTCCTAAAGCAGATATATCTGACATAAAAAGGGACATAAACCAGGAAAAATAAGCAGCTTCCCAAGCACTCAATCCACAAGTTCCAAGACCCATGTTCAACAGTACTCTAAGCTAGATCGACAGATGCCAAATAAAATTCTAATACTGACTTTCCAGGCCAACAAGACGGAGCTGGTATTTATTTGTTTGCTTGTTAATCCATAAAACTTCCATGTAAAGGTATACCTCAAAATGCCTATTTAAATAAATTACATTTCATACTACTAGTAAAGTATTTGAGAACTATTTTGAGTAAAATATAACTTACTGCATATATATTTATGCATGCATATTTATTTGCCTCTCTCTCTCTCTCTCTCTCTCTCTCTCTAAAGTACCATGATTTCTCTAAGAAAAACCTTACTTTTCTAATTCTTCAGGATCAAACTTCCACCAAGTATCTGGTTCATGGAATTCCACTCTGTATCCTTTTTCTAGAGCCTGTAGCAAGCAAAGAAATATGCATGATGTGTACCGTTCTAACATAAAATGTAAGAAAAAAAGTTCAAAATAAGTACAATAAACAGATGCAGCATACTCTGCAATAGCAGTATGCTTAAATTCACTTACCCCGTATCTGTCTTAGCTTTCATTTCAGGCTAAGCAAATTAAACCAAGTCAATCCTTAAACTGATGTAAACCATTGCCACGCCAATTTCTAATCATTATCAATAATCAGTCTCTCTTCAAAAACATGAGTTAAAAAAACATTTCTGGATAAAATGTATCAACTTATCACATAAGTTTGAAAAACTGTTACAGATGACAATCATGTAACAAAACCTACCACTTCCACGTATGGTTTCATTTCCCAGGCTTGAGTATTAGTGTTGTCTATTATAACTGGAGATTTTCCATGCTCAACTGCTTGCTTTGCTGCAACGAAAAATCATGCAAGTTAATAAACCACATATAACTCAAACAAAATAAAAATAAACTGCTCCAGATGTTTTTTTCACTAATCTACTCTGACTGAAACACTCTGTTCTAAGAGAAAGAATAAAAGGTACAGGCAGTAATGAAAAGTAGAATCAAAAACCTGACCAAACAAGATTATCTACTTTTAACTCTGAACCTTGTAGAAGTTCAAAATTTAATGAATACATATTTATAAAGCAAAGTACAAAGAAACTTTAAATACTTCTATTTATACTTTGCTAAAATATATATACTCCTTTTCATATAGACTCTTAATACTCGTACATATTATGCTACACATGTATTTCCTCTATGAAAGACAGTTTAATAGGATTCCTCTTATACATTCCAACCTCTCTTCTGGTTCCACTCATGGGCATCACCAAGCTGAGCAGCGTTATAGGTGTATCCATCTTGCTGACGAAAATAATCATCAGTGCTGAGTACAATGCCATCACAACTCTCACCAAGCAGAATACTGTTAAATAAAGAAAAACACAAAAATATATTGACTTTTAATTTTCAGAGAAACACATAAAAAAGGAATATAGCTAAAATAAACTGTGACCTCTTTCTAAACTTACTGCAGTCTTCAAACAGATCTATAAAAAGCACACCCGTATATATTACCAATAATTCTAATCCAAATTAAAGCAATATATTTTCCCCCTCTCTACTATTTCTGCATTTGTTGTTTCTTCTCCACTCCCAAGAGATGCTTTGTATTCATCTGATTTTGCAGTAAGTAACATAGAGAAACATCTTCAACTTCAATAAGACTTAACTAATAAAACGTGTATTTTCCCCACAGGCACCCATTAATTCTGGGATGTTTATTCCGCAAGGTATCCAAGACCCTGAGACATTATTTCATGGGAATTAACAATTGCAACCAAGCCCTGAATATATTGAATATATTGAACTGCATGTAATTGAATACACTGAAAAACAAGTCCCATGCAGTTCAAATTCTGCACCCGCTTTTGGTAACTATTCTTAACCTTGATCTCATAGTGCTCACTTTCCCATCTGCTAAACAAAATTAGTAACTGATTTCATTAATAAGAGATAAAAAAGTACAAATGAGATGAAAAAAAGTACAAATATGAGATGAAAAAAAGTACAAAATATTCTTAAAAACTTGTAGACATTTATAATTTTTCAGAAAATTGAGTCATGTATTTAGAGAAAGAGTCATGGACAATTTTCCATCAAACATGGAAAACAATTATATTTGGTATCTTGACATTAAGTAATCCAATTCCTGAACTGAATGATTTTTTTCCACAGGCTAATTTTTTAAATTTTTCATGTTGCTTTCACATATAAAAGGAATTATTGCAATACCACATGGGCACATGCAGCCTTAAAAACGCAAGTTTCCAAAATACAGCAATCAGTAACTATGAAATATTATAGTGAAAATTACTTAAACATGTAAGAGAAATCCCTATTAGAGATTTCTAGCTATGATACGGAGACCACTGCAATCAGAAAGTCACTCCTTTATATAAAAAACAAATAAGAACATGATCAGTCTACCCATTTCATAGACTACTCACATACAACAGATGATAACTACCGAAGACATCCATCTGTGCTGCAGTTTCTGGATGATATTCAATCAGTTAAGTACTTATTTAGTAACTTTTTAATATATACACAAGAGAAACATATTTTCACTTAATACAGGTAGTGTCTGTGATCTGTCAACTTTTTGTGCTTTGTAAACTAGGTCAAAGAATCACAAAGTGAAAATCCAAGTTGGAGGTGGTATCTGCTTTTACCCCTGTCAGAATTCAACAAGTATATTTGGAAGGAAAAAAAAAAAAAAAAACTTCTCTTGTGCATTGTTCACAAATAAACAAGAGTAGTTGACAGACCATACTATGAAAAAAGGGAATGAGACAACACTTAGTTTCATCCATACATTGAAAAGAAGTATTTTCAGAGTAGCAGCATTCTTCTAATGGCCTTTGAAAATTTTTGCATGGGCATGAAAATGTACTTCTGGTTCAGTCAAATAGCTGTTGTCAGATTTGATGGTAGATTTTATTTTTAAATGAGGAAATCTAAGAATTAAATTTAAAAAAAGCAGCAGATCATCACATACTTTTTACTTGAACATTTCAGAATAAAAGATTATGCAATTTAAAGGACGCTCAACATTTTAACACAAACAAGCTCCTGTTCATCAAAACTCTAAGGGAGACAAAACCCCCAAGTAAATCTTTTTAATATTTACCATCACTTGCACTCTTTAAGCACAAATGACAGCAAATATTAAACTCCTGCTTTATAATAGCCTAATTTACAAACTAAGAAGCTTCCTTAGTGCTTACAGAGGTATTTAAATTCTTTAAAAATTTTATTTGAATAAACTTCTCAAGCTTTAAGTCTTTACTTACCGAGAAAGTGTTGATTTCCCTGAACCTGGTAGGCCTCTTAAAATTAGAAGCAATTTCTGTGAATAACTGAATCTTTCTTCACATAATTGCAATGAAGAAAAGCTGTGCATTCCTCCKGTATTGTCAGCTTTTGGATCCTTCCAACACTGTTCTCTGGTTTCACAGAAACCATTATTTTGAAGTCCATTCTGACCATTATTTCCATTCCTGAAGACCTGAGTAGTGTGGATGTCACTATGACCAGAATAGTCAGTATTTTGATCCAGCAATGGTCCATGACTGTTGATACCAGTATTTCCACAGTAATGATGATACTTTTCATAAGCAAGTCCCCCATTCTGAGACAGGAGAGCATCTGGGATTTGTGGTGGGGGATTAAATATCTGAAAATGGGATTGATGGTTGAAACTAGGAGGAAGAGATCCCTGAGGTTTTCTGAAAGACGCTCTAGTCTGCCAAGCAGGTCTGAATTCAGGCAGTGAGCAGTTCCAAGCATCTACTTGGCCATTAAAGGGATTTTCAGTTTTCCAGCCACCTGTTTCCACACCTAACTGTTGCTCATTGCTTGCTTCCTGGCTGTTCTGTTCCCCCCAAAAACACTGTCCATTCTCATAAAATAACTGTGGACTGCCCAACAATACAGGCAGACAATTCCCTTGTGAGCTTTGACTACAGTTAAATGGAGAGTGTTTTTCTTGAGAAATTTCAGTTTCTTTTTCCTCAAGATTAGCATCTAGATTTTCATTTTCCAGCTGGTGAATTTCCTTATAGAACTGATCCAGTTCATCATCTATTTCTGGTACAGTGGCTGAAACAGCCTGCATCTTCTTTGCCTCCTTTCTTTTAGGCCTGTTTTCATGTAATTCATTTTCATCTCTTCCACTGTTCCTACATTCATTGTAATTACCAGATTTGTCCTGTTCATTACTTTTGGTAGGCTTGTAAATAGGTCCTATAAAATCTTTGCTTGTAAAAAAGTCTTCATCTGATGTGTTTCTACTTACTGAGAATGATGTACTACTTTTTTCAATATTATCTTCAGCAGCATTACTTGTAACAAAAGGGTCTTCCTCTTCAACCTTTGAGTCATTTATGGATGCAAATGAAGGATTTACATTCTGCGCAGTTTCTAAATCAACTGGCTGACTAAGCACTGGATTATTTCCAGGGAGAACTTCACTCGARGATCCCAAGACAATAGTAGGTATTTTCTCTTGCTTCAGCATTTCATGTTGCCTTTGGTTATCTAAGGTACATGTCGGTATCTGACCATCTGATGTTCTCTCAATATCAACTTCCTCCTGAATACCTTTATCATCATCAGGGAGTTTCTCACAAGCCCCTTCTGTTGACTTCATTCTTTTAGAGTGTGGTTCAATTCTGATTTTGTCCTTAGACTCCAAGAGCTTTACTGTATGTTCAGAATGAAGCACCTTAGGAAATAAGCCAAAAAACCACATTATCAACATGCATTTTTTAAAGTAAAGTTTAAGAAGCTGAAGTTATTCAGGCCTATGACATCACACTTTCCATGGTCACAACTAAAATGTACTCACCCAGAGGAAAGCAGACATCACCTACCGCAAATATGGTWTAAACAAGACTGCCACATTGTTTATTGCTCATCTTTAGTGAAGAACTACATTAGTGCTGCATCAGTCATTTCATGATATGCCTTAAATAATTTACAAATCACGCTGTTAAAACATGACTATTTGAAAAATTAGTTATATCAACCATCTCTGATCAATGTTACTATTGTTACTACTGTTTTCTACGAACCTGTGTTGTTTGGCCAAGTGTTTGAAATCTATTTTAAAGATAATCATATGCCGATTGCCAGCGCACAAACTGATGCCTGACATCACTATCCTTGACCAACAAAAATGTAAACACTTAAATCATGAGGATTGTTTTGTGTGACATGAACTAAGCTCAACTAACTCATTTAACACGAATCAAACATACTAGGTGGCATTTGTAATTTAGAACTAGTCAAGTAAGATTTAAAATCAAAACTCCAAACTGTTATTATGGTTCTGGTTTTGGAACTATTAAAGACTTTTTTAAAGGACCAAGACCAGTTATTTGCATGTCTTCTAAAACTAAACACACACAGACAAAATCCCTGTGGCAAACAGATTGCATTCTAAGAATTAAACCAGTAAGTTCCAAAATGGTTCAGAGACGAGCTATTACAAAGCAAGATAGCACTAACCACTGTGACATGCACTCATAATATTATTCATCTATTAGTCTGCATTTCTTGGATTTTTAAGTCTACACAGTATGCAAAAAAGAGCATAATCTTCCCCTCTAAACCAATGCAGTTTCAAACGATAAAGAATATGTTTCTCCTACTGGAGAGTTTATTCTGCTCTTTTCTGTGAACATTTCAACTTTATAGGAGTAAATATTCACAAAATAACACATGCCCTTCATCCTGGATGAGAAAGTATTTTTTTTTTCTTTGTCTGTAAGTAGTGTTATGGAAAGATTTGGATAAGGATCTGTAAGTAGTGTTATGGAAAGATTTGTGAGCAACCATTATTCCCTCAAGTTCACTTGTTGGAAAATATACCGGTTTAAAAATTTTGTACAGTTTAAAAGTTTTGTACATAACTTTAGTCAAAGATTTTGTTCGCCTTTGCCCTGGGGAAAGGGCAATGAAGTTTCTTTCCAGGGCATTGTTCCACCACATGAGACCTGATGAGCTTAACATCTCAACAGACTGGGAGTAGCACAAAAGATAGGGATCATTAAGTACCATCAAGGGCCATTAACAGAACATCAGCTCTAAACTTCACCCTGGCATGGTCGGAGGCACCTGGTCTGGGAAAAGAGAGATAAGAAGGAGGACCTAATTAGCATCAGGGACCAAGGAATCTGGATCCAATAGTAAACCAAATACTAAGAACTACGCAATATTGGACCAGTGAACATTAAACCAATAAATTTTTGAGTTTTGACTGTATARAGTTTGGAGAAAATCTTGTAAAACTCATGTATCATGGAATGATTTTCTCTGCACAACCGGGCTATGTGTGGACAAGACGATTTCTGTAGCACATCCTAGCCAGAAAATAAAGTAATGCCTTGACTCTCTAATATTGTTTGAGAGTTTTTGTTTTCTCCACAGTTTCGATGACAACTTAAAGAATTGACAAGAAAAGGTGTTTCTCTAGGCACTTCCTCACCTATGTGAAAAACGAGATTCACTTTCTTGTTAAAATTTAAAGGGTTTTAATAAATGACAATAGAGTACATAAAAGCAAAGGAGTATGTGCTTAGCGATCTGCCAGAGGCACACCGGGTATGGATAGAAAGCTCTTTAAATACATTCTGTGTCACATTAGCCTAATGCTTATTCATAGACATTGATGCATATTTAAACCTGTCTTGTTGTTTTATGCTCCTGGGGTCATGTTTGTGTGACCCCTGTTCCACAACTTCAGCAGATGGTTCTTGTTGATAGAGAAGTGTCTGTAGCAGGGGCGCCTAACGGGTCATGACACCCCTGGCCTGTCCATTGCAGTTATGGTTGTCTGAAGGTTGGGTGTCCCATCAGCCAGACTCCTTTTGCCACAAACAATGGATGTTTTCACAAGTTCTCTTGACTAGAGACTTTTCCTCAAAGCCTCTGTTCCTTCCACCCCCACCCTTTCGCTGTCAGGGTCTGTGCTGGCCTGGCAGTTGATAGCCCTGGGGCAATGGCCTCCCAACCCCGAAGGTGCTCAGCATCTTTGTGAATGTATRCATTCTTTTCCCCAGCTCTGAGCTGCTTCTTATCTTTAAGGACCATTGCCATCAGGCCCCATTCAGGGTTCTTTTTGGTGACTTTCTTTGCAGCTTTTGTATAGTTTTGCTATAATATAAAAGAATATCCTTTATGGAAATGTTTAAGTCACAAATCATAATATTTCAGTTTAACCACAAATATTCTATAACTATATCTGAGTTACAAAAGAAAAACAGTGATAATTTTCACAACTATGTCTGCATAACTAAACTTCTACAAATAAGACAATATTATATCATGATGCACAACACATAGCATCTACTTTTAATCTCTGCGAGAAGTAACGCTACAATATATGTTTAACACACAAATGGCACTCATCTTAATATTTGCGAAAGCCAACACTATAATATGTGTTTATAACACCTACTATCCAAAGGAAGAGAAACTTGCCATTCTAAATCTCAAAACCTTTAAACCAAGGAGATTCTACTGTCTGCACTTGATTTTACTACCTAGAAGAAAGCGCTACTGTCAGAAGGGGGAGAAACATGGCCATGCATTCCTCTTTTCCTCGGACTTGGTACAATGTTCCCCAGTCCACTCAGGATATATGTGTTTTATGCATACCTCCAGCTTCTCAGTTCCTCATTTTGGTTAATTAGAAAGTAAGTATAACATTACTATTAATCACTGACTCCATCCCCATCTATTAAAAAATGTTACTCTGCCTCCACTCAAAAACAGTATTGAGGGGAAAAAAAGTTAACTTTATTAGCGTCTATGTCCTCAACCCCTTCTTCTGGGATGATGTTTAAGCAGACCCTATTTCCTGATGTGAAATGAAAACGGCAAGCATATGAACACCTGCTGCATGACAAGATATCCACTGAGGATGCTTCTCTGCGACTGTTCCACGTAGGAATATCCTTTCTTGCTAATGTCCAACAGACTTCCCCTGACTATCCTTGCAGAGAGTGAAGATGCACATAAAAGCATTTCCGCCTGCGTCCTTGTGGAGGCCAGAGCAAGCATGCACATGGAAAATGCAGTCTGTGACACTCTCACCTCTTGAATGGGACAAGCACGGGTCTATATCATTCCAGTAAAGAGCTTGTTGTAAGCACTGAACCTGAGCAGGCACATGGGATGCTAGACTTATTTACCGCTTTAACTGACCTGCCAAAGATCCAGATAGTTCAACTAACAACTAACTCAAGGCCTTGAACTCCACCTGTACAATGCCTTTCCCAAGTGGAAAAATAAGGCTTGTGTGACAGATCCTACAGACAGGGGAACTGCCTGGCTTTCCTAGCACGACCTCTCTGAGGGTATGGCGGTCACAATGCGCGAAGCCCAGCAACCGTCACACGGCGTCAGTACACGGCTGGAAGCCGGGGGAAGCAGGCGCTGCTCCCACACTGGCCTGGCAGCGGCGTGTCCGAGGCGAAGGCGCGGCCGCCGGCCCCATTCTCGGGAGGTGTGTCAGCCGCCCTCTCCCTCCCTTCCCCACCGGTGCAAAGCCCACTCCTCTCCCCCAGACACAAACATTTCCCTCAGCCCAGCGCCCACGTCACACAACCTCAACAGCCACCGGCTCCTGGGCGTTGACACCGTCATCCCCGCGCTGCCCCTTTCCCTCTTGGTGGTGGCACAGGTCGGTGGTAGCAGCGGTGGCGGCGAGGGAGAAGCGGCTTCCCTGCCTGGCCCGGGGCGGGGCGGCCCGGCCGAGCAGCAGCCGCCGCAGCCACACGCGGAGGAGGATACCAACCTCGAGGCAGCCGGCACCCGACCGCCAGAAGCGCAGAACCGCCGACCCCCACACCCAAACTGGCACCGCCTCTCTCTGTCCCGTCACCCCGCGCGTGGCGTCACGAGGGGCGGGACGAGGCGGGGCTTTCCCTCACGACGCCGCGCGCCTTGCCCGGAGGAAAGATGCCGGACCGGTGCTGAGAGCTGGGATTTAGGCTGTTTTAACCTCCTTCGGAGAGTTGTCTCCTCAGTTTTCGGGAGGTTTGCTGTAGGTGGGGTTCTGGTTTTTGTGAGGGAATAACAACGAAGTTCCAATGAGGATTATCCCTACTGTAAAAGCTGCCCAAGTTTCTTACATATGTATTGTACTTAACATGGACTTGCAAGTTTCCCTACTGCATAGATAAAGTACTGCTGCTTTTTTTCCTCAAATCTTGTAGTGTTSTGCAAGGCCAACCACATTTTTCCTAAAAATAGCCCAGTCTTGTAACAGTACTTCCCCAACTTTTCTTAGTGCACACAAGAGCTCCAGTAAGTGATGCGCTTATTCTAAATACCTGGAATATTTATTCTTTCACATCACCCAAATGGATTATGAATGTTTTAAAGTATATAATTTACGAAGTCTCTGAAATTAGTTAATTTGCTATAAATGGTTTAAAAAAAAACCAACTGGTCAAATCCATGCCAGGCATTCCTTTCAGTTATCCCTGCCACCAAAGAACGGTGTCTTTTACTGTGTAAGGTGACGGCTTTGTTGTGTTGGAAGGCATGGATGTGTCTTTGGTAGCATTTTAAACTGTATCAGAAGTGAGCTGTTGGAGTGAATTTCCCAGTTTGCCATGCTTTGTTCAGATTAGTGTTCTCCCAGTCTAAAAGCCACTGAGATGTGTATTGTGTGAATGCCACCATCTTGGCAACAAACATTTTCCC